GGAAACAGTGAAACAATGACGCTTCCTTGAGGAACGTTCAAGGGAGGATTTAAATGTTCATTTCTCAGTGAGCTGTAACAGTTGTTATTACATGCTGTCGCCGATTGTCAGAAATATCTTCCTTTTGTGGCTCAATGCAAATAACAATATGTGTTTGTTCCTCAAATTACAGCAAAATCACAGAGAAGTAAAAAAACATAATAAAGGCAATCAATTGCACCGAACTGCTCTGCTCTTGTTATCTGTTTTTATTTTCAATGATCTCTTTAAATTTGTCTAGTATCTCGACCAAATGCATCTTCCCTCTCGCTAAATATTTCTTTCCATAGTCACGCATTATAATCTAAGAATCAATCAAGAAAATTGGGAAATCATTGAAAACCTAATGATTATTCAAGCTAAAGCGTATTTGACAGTTTGCTTGAGCAGGGAGCACGTACAGCATAAGAAATATCTCAAGTACCAAAAGAGAGGCACTCCTCTCCGCCATCTTTATTCCAACAGCTATTGACAGTTAGCTGTGTGAGAGAAAATGGCTTATGAAAACACGTTTTTGAACTTACATTTCTTTACCATCCGTACTTTGTGGTGGCCCCTTCAAAAGAAACTGCAGTGTTGCCTAATTGTTATCTTTGACAGTTAACTCTATGGATAAAAATGGCGGATGAAAATACGTTTCTTTTGCTTAATTGACTTTCACTACTCTATCATTTTGAACTTGACAGCTCACACGCCGCAAATTTATATTATCGTTTAACAGTGTTTATCCATGAAAAAATATTGTTTTATTTAATAGTAGTGCACAGACCAGTTTTCAGTGTGTTCAGTGAGTTTTTTGAGAAGTATCTGTTCAAAAACAATTAACAAGGGTGGAAGTTAGTTCAACGCAATCACGCCTTATATTAAAATCGTGATTCTTCAAAATGCTAATTAGTCGTACCAACCTAGGTCACAGAACTCGCAATGCTGCAAGTCAAAGATATATACGAAGAAGTTAAACTGACGTGCAACGAGAAGCTAGAAATGAAGTTGAGCGGATGGAAGGAATGAAATTCAGCAACGTAGAAGTGTCGGATTTAATCCCAATCGAGCTGCAATCAATTATGACGTGGCAATGGATTACACTTCTCTGAGATTATGCTGCAATTCGAGGAAGCAAACATTATCATTTTGCATTGTTTATTGATATTTAGCGGAAATAAACCAAATCGTTCCAATTCCAGAATCAAAATGCTAAACAGAAAAAAATCTTTGTGACATTGATGACAGCTTGTGATGACTACTGTTACAGCCTACTGTGAAATGAAAATTTAAATCTTCCCTTGAACGTTCCTCAAGGAAGCGTCATTGTTACACTGTTTCTAACGAGAGGTCCATTGTTTCCAAGAAAACCGCGAGGAAGGTCTATAAATCTGACTCTGAGTCAATCTTTCGTTTGGAATTGAGATTTAATCTCCAAAATCGGTGAAAAGATCTATAACTCATCAGTTGTTCATTTTCATAACTGACTGGTTTGTATCTTGAATATTTATGAAACGAAAAACACATCAATTTTTTTCATCTTAATTTTTTATTGAAACTTAGAAATTATGTATGAAAAATAATATCAGACAAATGTCCGCCTCTTGAAGCCGCGCAAACCTGAGCCTTCTTGATTACACTTTCAGTTCCATCACTTTTTGGTAGGTTTCGGGAGGAATATTTTCAATCGCTTCCGTAATATGGTTCTTCAGTTGCTCTACAGTATTTGGTTTGTTGGCATAAGCCCTATTTTCAAAAATCCCCATAAAAAAGTCAGTAGCCGTTAAATCCGGTGACCTTGGTGGCCAGTTGACATCACCAAATCGAGGAATTAAACGTCCCGGAAATATTGTTCGCAAAAGATTCACTGTTTCCCTAGCTGTGTGACAAGTTGCTCCATCCTGCTGGAACCACATGTTTTGCAGGTTAAATTGTTGAATTTGAGGTGCCAGAAAGTCTTGCACCTTAATATCACGATAGCATTCGGCCTTGAAAGTAAGCCAATTACTTGTAGCGTCTTCAAAGAAGTAAGGTCCAATGCACACCTCCATACCCAACACCGCACCAAACTGTGACTTGACGAGGATGTAGTGGTCGTTGGTGGATGACACGAGGGTTCTCTAATGCCCAGATACGACAATTCATTCTGCTTATTAACAACTCCGTTCATGTCGAAGTGGGCTTCGTCGCTCACTATCAGTTGTCGGTAAAAATCGTTATTTTGGGTATTGAGAAGGATACAGGTATGGCATGACTGTATTGTCGGCCAATTCATGGTCACAAGGCTGTATTTCTTGGGTTAACTGAATCTTGTATGGCAAGTCTTTTTTTTAAATAGTGCGACGAATGCCCAGTTCTTGAGAACGATGACTGGTAGATGTCTCAGGGCGCTACACTACACTGTAACGAACTCTTTCGATATTTTCCGGAGTACGAACAGTTCGAACATGGTCCGACCTTGGCAAGTCTTTAACTTCAGCTGTTTGTTCAAATTTCCGTACCAACTGATGAATGGTGTTGACACTGGGCACATTATTTCGACCGAAATCTTGACATAGCTTCCAAATCGTTGCAACAATCGACTTATTTAAGTAAAACGTTTGAACAATACGGACGCGTTGTGGGATCGTGTAGCGCTCCATGATGAATTGGACACATACGCTTTAAACAATTGCTACGGCGCCACCTACCAAATGCGTGTATTAAAAATTGCGCGCAATTTAAATCAGTCAGTTATATATTGGACGTAAAGTGATATCTACACGCGAAGAAGGGTTGAGTATCCGAGAAACAGCGAAGCAATTCCATGGCTAAAGCAAAGAGAAGGTACATATATCAAGAGAAAACAGTCAAAGCGAATAAAAGTAGAGAGAGATAGACTGGCCAAACCAATTCAAGGAGGCAAAATGATGTTTAATCACGATTTATTTGGCGAGAGATCAATGCAGAGTTGCCAGAGATTTTTTTTTTAGAAAAATTAATGTTATGTTAAAGCAAATGATGTTTTTCACAAAACGTATACACTGCGAGTTGGAAAATGTTTATGTAAGTGTATCGATCAGAGCAATCACAAAACGTATTCGACATTCTCACGATTCTATCATGTTCTCCTGTGAATTCCAATTGATATTCGTATTTAAGCCAATGAGTTTGTTGAAGTGCGAGTCGAGTCACATATATTCTATAGTGTGCAACAAATTTTGGAAAATAAATGTGGTAAATATGCAATATTAATAAAACTGTATTACTTCAGCTCATTATAAACATAACCGATTCTAAATGGCCGCTTCATCGACTTTCTGCCCTCGGTTTAGCGATTCGTTCAAAGATGGCTCTGGGATTGATATAAAACGTGGTAAAATAGACGACCAGAAATGCACTGTCAACCCAACCCAATTCAAGGAACAAAATTAATGAAGGTGACCAGCAACTTCAAAGACATTCTTTGGTTAAAAGTTGAAGAGATTTGAGAAGGGTTTCATCTTACCTGTGGAACATTTTGGCTGACGGGTGGTGTCTGGTTCTGTTGCTGTGAAAGGGGTGCAACCGGTGCAGCAGATGGTGGTTGAGATATGGGCGAAGCAGATTTCTGGATGTCCCACATAGACAATGGCACATCGTTGGGCGCCGACCATTGGCCGGCTGGAGGCGCTGACGGAGGAATGCCGAATTGATTCTGTTGCCACAACGAATCTGTAATAGAAAAGATTAGTAAAGTTGCTGACTTGCACGCATTAAGGGCTAACACCACTATGAATTTTTCCAATTTGGAGCTGTCTCCAAGCGCATCCAACTGCTCCGAAACGACAGCTGTCTCAGATGAATACCAGCTGGAAAGTTATAGCCTAATGTCTTAGCCTTGGATTTCTATATTCTTAAATAGAGTAACAGAGGCATTTAAGTTCAGGCAGCAGAATAATGGTAAAAATTTACATTATCCATTTTTTTATTCCATCCTTTCTATAATAATAAAGCATTTATTGCCCATAAGTACAGACACCATTTAGAGAGCAATACGTAGTACAGTTATTTAATTTACACAGTATGTGTGCCATGAAGTGATAAAAAACACAAAAGAGAGAAAGGCGCTGTAAGCAGAGAGAAAAAACTATCACCATCATTCATATAGCATAGATATTTCAGAAACTTCTTTTGCACTTTTTCAATATTATTTTTGTAGAGTTCATACATAGGACTCCAAATGATTGCACCATATTCTAATTTACTAATAACAAGCACAGAAAATACCTTAATAAGTGTTGTGATATTGAAACTTCTATAATTAAAATGCGACATTTAGATTTGTTCAAACTCAAATTTTTATTAGTACACCATATTTGTAAAAAACAAATATTTGTTAGAGGTTCTCACAATCTTGACAGCTAAAAATAGATGTGTCAAGCTTCAGGTCATCAGCATACATAAACATAAGCTTGTTGCATGATAATGAACTGCAAAGATCGTTGACGTATAAGGCAAACAATAAGGGACCCAAAATGGAACCTTGAAGTACACCACTACTTGACATGTATGTGTGAGAACTAAATCCATTATAGGACACAAACTGAGTTGTCAAGTCTAGATACGACTTGAGACGATCCAAGTAAGTTTTTTTTGTTGTGTTGTATTCATATTTTCATTTCAACACGCGTTTTTCTCGATACACGAGTTTTCAAAACGGTAGGTAGAATAACATTTCGATGATATACGAAGAGGATTTTCTTTAAGTTGATCATCATTAATTAACAAATAATTGTTCTCTCGAAAATAGAACGTTTTAATTCAAATACTCGCGAACCACACAAAAAATATGTACAAGTGTGTTTTTGTTTTGTTTTCCTAGATCCAATTTCCAGCAACTATACGGCCTCAAATAAACTGATTCCGTGCTATTTTAAAATATTTTTTACGGTAACATTTACTGTTATTCATGCTTAATAACTTTAATATTGTCCTTTTATTACTTTTCTTCGCCAAAAAACCCTTTTAGTTCGTTACAGTGGTCTTACCCTGAATCAGTCTCCAAATTACGTACATACCGAGTATTTCAAATTCCACTACCACCATTGGGATCTCAGTCTCAAGTGGGGGCATTTAGGCAACTAAAAAGATATCATTTAAAAAGTATCGCGATCCAGAATACTTATTTGTGGAGATGGAAAAAAACCTATCTTCCCAAAATCGATTTTATTTTTTCTTGCATTTATTTTAGGTGGGATTTAACAAAATAAATTGTACATCGGCATTCAAATTTTTTCTCTACCAAATGGTATGTTTAAAATTTTATATGGCAATTTGTCTCTTGTCCTCATTTACAACTTCATTTTTTTCTTAGGACGCTGTAATGAATTTCTGTGCAGATGAATAGTTTTTCTTTCTGATTTCAAAAATGTCATGCATTAATATTGCTAAACTTTCGGTAGTACAAAAACCCTGATATTCTCATAGTTTATATTGAAAATGACAGCAGCACACGGCACACTTTATCGATTACAAGTGGCTATAACCGGCCGCGTGGTTGTGGTTAGACGTCTCCTTGAAAATTCGAGGTCGTATAGCCATTTTATACTACAATGTGTAGGTTGGCTCTTGTTGTGGACTTCGTGTGTCGTTTTTTTTTCCCTCCAACTTCGTTTCCTCAGGTTACACCCGTATCCGGATGTGTGGGCATGTGTATCTACTTTTGTAGTTTCATATGTGCATTCATTTCGGGCCAAATGAAGCCAACCAGCAGAAATACGTATCGCTCGGGTTACCTATCCTATTTTCTGCTCGAATCCACTTTCCTCCTTTTTGCGGATTTTGCCCATTATTTTCCTACTTGTTGTTATATACCTTTCTCCGCATGATCATATTCTCTTTATATATATATATAGCACATAAGCATTTGGACACTGCTTTAGAACTGTTAAATAGTGATATTAACAAAAAATTACGAATTGGTTAAATGTCAATAAACGTAAATTAAACACTAATAAAACAAAATGTATGTCAATAGGGAAACATTTAGGTGACAATACAATTAGGCTCATGATTAATGATGATAAAATTGTAGTAGTCATTTAAATATTCTGGTATATATGTGGATTGTAAGCTACTGTTTCACGAACATTATGAATACATTATTTCAAAAATATCGAAAAAGATATATTACTTCTATAGAGTTTCCCATAATCTCAGAATGTATTCCAAAAAAAATTGTGCATAACACTATAATTCTTCCTCATTTTTTATATTGTTCAACCATCTTGTTTACAGCAAATGAAAACATATTTTCAAAATTACAAATTCTACAGAATAAAGCTATGAGAATCATTTTAAATAAAAACAAATATACTAAGATTAAGTCTATGTTAGAAAAACTGCAGTGGTTGGATGTGAAAAATTTCATATATTATTTAGTTCTCGTTTTCATATTCAAATTAAAAAATCATTTATTACCACCACATTTAGAGAACTTCACAAAATTAAATAGTCATTATCATAACTACGAAACTAGAGGCAGTATAGATTTTCATCTGCAAAATTGTAATAGTAGCATAACTAGTAAATCTATATTTCAAAAGGGAGTATTTGAATTTAATAAATTGAATAATGATATTAAACAATGTTCGAATTTAAAAATGTTTAAAGTGAAATTAAAAATCACTTTATGAATAATCAAAATACATAGTGACGTAATTTTAGTTTTAATAGACAAGAAAGTAGAATTACAGAAAATGGATTGAGGAAAAATATGTAAGTTCTATTTAATGAAATTTTTATTTCTAGTATAATTATAGTATTTTAACTTTAATGACATTATACATTTTTGAAAACACAATTGAAAATTCTATTCACCTGTACAAAAAGTTATTATGGTTGGAATTATAATTACGCCATCTTGTGGAGGAGTGCCATTGTTAATGTGTAATTTATTTTGGAAGCCCACCAGGAAAAAATAAAAACGCTCTTGGGAATATCTCCTGAAATCTTTGAATTGTGAAGCTTCCCAAGTGTCATTTTCTTAGTTACCTTAACGCGCAACTGCTTCCATTTAACCGACTTAGTATCTCTTACCGTTTCCGAGCTCCTAATGGTGATAGTCAAACACCCAGTATGTATGTCGGTGATTCCATCAAAAATATACAGCCATTATTATAGGTACTTGAAACGGTAACACTGTTCTTGAAGCTTCCAAGGACTTGGTAAAGTGAGGGATGGGGGTCAAAGCTGGCCGTTGATCCTGGTTAGGCAGCATGGAGGAGAGTGTTGCCATTATGTACTCTTTGATAATGGCTGTAAAACTTTTGATTTGCCGCATTTCCTATTGCTTTTCAAAATCATACCGATTTGTTGCGACTGCTGTTTCTGCTGCTGCAACTGTTTCAGCAGACTACTGATCGGGTCCTGGTCCTGTTGAGGCGTTCCCCCTGGAGCCCCGGGTATCTGGTCAGGGGGCGGCCTAGGCAATGCCGCCGCCCCCGAAGTTGCGATGCCGGTCAGCGGAAGTCCGTTGGGACCCAAGGATACAGCGGCGGCGGCGGCTTGCAGGCTAGGGATTGTCTCGGGAGGCACGCCGCCAGTTATCGGAGGCGCGAGCCCTGACGCAGAATAGTGATGTGTTAAATTGTGCTTTAAATTTTTTTGGTTAAGGTCATCATACAAATTTACTGCCATAAGTTGGATATCAAAATTGAACGCGTGATCTGCACGAGAGCAAAGTTCATAATAGTACATTTCATATCTTTGTTGATCGCTTTTATATCATGAGGCGCTTAGGGACGTGGAATATAATGTACGAGATCAATAAAATATGCAAATTTTTTACTGCTATCACCGGGTGTTTCAAATTCGACCCTCACCATTGGGATCTCGGACACTGTAAGAGATAGGAAGTTGCTTGAATTGGGGCAAAGTTGCCTATTAAGGTAATTAACAAAATGCCGCTTAGAACGTTTCCATATTCGAAGTACTTCCGGAGAGAAACGGATAAAACCGATTTTTCCAACAATAGATTTGATTTTTTCCAGACTTTATTTGTAGTGGGATTTCGAAATAGACTGCACATTAACGTTGTCATTTCTTCTCGTTTACAAGGTGACAATCAGAATTTCAATATGACGTTTCGTCCCTTGTCCTCCAGAATCAACTTTATTTTTATTATGGACGCCATATTGGATTTATGCACAGATGAATAGAGTTTTTAATTCAGATTCCAAAAATGTATAATACGTCATACGTTGACATTGCCAAACACTAGTTATTTCAAACAAGCAGAATTTCCTGGGTAGGCCGTGAGATTATCAGATAGTTACTTGTTTTTCGCAAACTTTTTCCTGACTTCATTTGTGATTTCCAAAAAAAATTGCATTTTGTTAATATTACTTATTCTCCTCTACAAGTTGGCGTAGTCAAATTTACAATTCGAGATTTCCTCTTTCGACTTCCATCACCAACATTTTTTTTTTCATATGGACTATATATTCGAATTATGTACATTTCAGTAGACTTTTCACTTCTAAATTCAGGTATGTATTTTCTTGGTTGGCCAGTAATTTGTTGTTGGATGTAAATTATAAGGAAATAAGAAGGAATGGTCGAACCTGAACACAAAATGACAATTTTGTTGATGGTAATAAGAATAATAATCATAAATAAGCAGAGATAAATCATAGCAGATGTTCAAAATGTTGTAAGCTATATTGTAGGCAAGGTCTGACTCTTCTCTGAACATTCTTCACTGGTCGATTTATTTCCCTGCTTCTCAGATTCCAAACTCTGTTACTATGTTAAATTTGAGGTCTGGTCTGGTACACGAAACAAATGACTATCTTATAATTTCAAGGCTTACCTAGGTACTTCTGTTTTTCTCAAATAAGTAAAGTTTGTTAATGTCAACGTATGGCATATACATTTTTAGAATCAGAATTAAAAACTTCATTCACCTGTGCAAAAATCCAATATGGCGCCTATAATAAAAAATAATGATGATAGTGGACAAAAGACGAAACGTCATATTTAAATTCTAATTATGCCATCTTGTAGACTGGAGAAAATGACAAGGTTAATGTGCAATTTAATTTGAAATCCCACTATAAATATAATATAACAAAAACGTTAAATCGATTTCGGGAAAATTCGTTTTTTTCTGCCTCTCTCCAGAAGTACTTTGGATTTCGAAACTTTCTAAGCGGCACTTTGTTGGTTACCTATATAAGCAATTTTGCCCCATTTAAGCGACTTCATATCTCATACCGCTTCCGAGATCCCAATGGTGAGGATCGAATTTCAAACACCTTGTATATCAACTAGGTTTTATAAGATCTAAATATTTTCATTGTACACTATAATTTAATTTAACGTAAGCTAATGATCCGCATGTTTCATACTCATTTTAAAAATAATACTTTGTAACATCTAGTAGCCTGGTGTCAAATTAGCACACTAAAATGAATCCAATACAAAGCAGATTTGTCATATACACTGGCCCATTTTAGTTTTACTAGGGGCAAGGGGTTAACGGATATTGATTGTTTCCTTTCTTCTAGTACTGAAAATGTTTTACAGTACTTTTCCGATTATCGAAATACCCAAAAAAGGTAGCTACATGACGATCTATACGTACATATTCTCGAGTACTGAAGAGACTAGCGGAACACATCGCATGCCATTGGCCAGCGCGGTATCTCCTTGAATACGGCGGGATACTCACGCTCCGACTTTGTCAATTCAAAGAAACGCCGCGTGCGATGTGTTTTGTTGCTCTCTTCCTTTTCGTACCGGGGCATATTATTTATTAGTTATGTATTACTTGTTTTCAAATATTTCGGAATATAAACTTCAAGATATTGACAATGAAGTTAGCAGGATACAATTTCAAATGACCTAGTTTGTTTTATTATTTGCCTAGGGCTTCTCAGTGGGGCAGTGTGGTCAATAATTGCGAATTATCTGCACTTCAGCTAAGACCGTGGCCGCATATTCGGCATTCGGTAGAATCACTATTCGTTGCAATCTTTAGTTACCTATGATATAAAAAATCTGTCTAGCTGTCGAGGCTTATTAAAGTTTTCAATTTATCATATTTAGTTTACCTGTTGGTAGACTGTTGGCAAGACCAGCAGGAGGAATTCGATTCTGCATTGACAACAAATTACCGACATGCAATTGCAGGTGTGGATCCAAAGTTCCAGGCATATTCGGTGGTTTCGGGTCCACCAATCCTTGGCCTGGAAGCTTATTGGCCTACAAAAATTATGTAATGATGTCCCTGGTGGGAAATACATTTAGAATGATGGTAGGGATATGAAACCAACCTGTTGCATTTGGTTGATCATGTGCATCAGTGGATTGGCCGTCGGTGGCTGTTGCATATACTGAAGATCCTGTGGAACCTGAAAAAAAAAAGAAGTAGACTAACCCTGCACTTCCCACGCAAAGCTGTCGAAAAAATTATGTTCGGTATAAGTTCGCCCTTTTCAGAAATGAGTTAACTACAAACATGTACAACAAACGAAGTAAATAGATTAAGGGTGGTTTTCACAATTTAACAAACCATTATTCTGCACCCATAGGGTACGAGTACCAAACAGTCCGTTAAATATACCCAATCAGCCTCAAGATCTCTCCGTCAAATTTTTGGCAGCAAATAGCATCAAGGTATTCAAAACAAAACACTGTAAAATATAAAGTGACAGCTTGCCATTGAAATCTTTTCAGTTTATTAAATATTATGAAATTATGTAAAACTGAGCCAAAATTTTTAAAAATGCTTGATGTCTGAGTAAAATCTATTTTTTCAGATTAGCTGAAGGTTTTTCCATGTTTATTGCAACTTTTGTAATCCATATGTGATTATATCACCTACTGTGTGCTTATAGTTTATCCTACATTTGCAAACTTGCACTTCCAAATCCTTACATGAAAAAGCCTTTTTACTCAAATTTTTGCTAGGTGTTGCATTTCAACACATTCATACACTTCTTTCCAGTTCCTCAACGATATTTTAACCCTACTGGTCCGAAACTGTTCAACAGTTTCAACATTCATACATACAATTGCAGTTGCAGTTTTTTGTTTTAATTTCAGTGTATAATCAGTCGAACCATCGGTGACGGTACATGGTACATTCAACATAACCACGTATTTAGGGGTTAGTGCAGAATTAACGTGTACACGACAGTGTAGTATGTATTTCTTCACAAAAAATCTTGGAGGGAGCACTTTTATACGGAAATTTGTTGTTAAAAAATTCCATTGTCCACACATAACAAAACAAGTGATCACAAAACATAGAATACAGTGACGTTGGAGAAGGAGAATAGACCAAAGGAGATCGGAATTGACATTTGAAATTAGTGTCTCATAATGTTAGTGATGGGAGAAAACATTTCCGATCAGTGGAATGTATTGGAACGGTTAAAAAATATGAATTGAATCGTTTTTACGTTATCTCGACTGAAAGACTGGAATATCTGCTCTGTTTCTGTATATATATTTTTTGTCGTATTGTTGCATAAAGTAGTTGGTTCACGAACTAGTTCCTAGAACTGAACGCAACTTAATTAAACAAACTGGAAAGCACATCACTATTTCAAGTAATCCAAGAAGGGACAAATTGTCATTTCATCACACTAGTGATGGGAGAATCGAAAGCCTAAAGCCTAAGTCCCAATTTCACCAACAACAGTCCGTTATTCTCCACCTATAGGGCAACAGACCGTTAGATACAGCAACCAATAGCAATGAAATGTTGAAAACAAAATACTGTCAAAGTATGAGATGACAACTTGTCATTGAACATCACCAGCTTATTGAATATTAAGAAATTACATATAATTCAGTCAAAATTTTAAGAAATGTTTGATTTTTGAATTAAATTCATGTTTGTATTATTTTCCCCAAAAAAAGAAATCCAGATGGTTCAATTCAGGAGACCTCGCAGGTGAATGCACGGGTCCGTTTCTGCCAATCCATCGTTGTCTAAACTGATTTTAAACTTCATCTTTTTAATGAAGCTCTCGAGGAAAAAATGTTACATAGAAGACCCCTCCCTTAAAATGCGGTCCTGTGTATAATGTTTCATTTTTGGTCACGACTTATGAATCACCCTGTATATCTTCAGTCTGTATGCAATTAATTACACCAATCTTGTTCAGGGCCTGACCGAAACTGTCTTAGTAATAATCCCCCATGCTTGTCAGGCCAATAAAACCACATGTATTGACAGATCTTCAATACCTGTGTTTTTTTTGGCCAGAAACGCATGGGGAATTATCGTCATGTAAACCACAGAATAAGTTTCAGATGTTACATTACCAAGCTAAAAAAAATATTTCTGTAGGTGTACCACAAGGTAGTAAACTAGGTCCACTACTATTTATTTAATAGATTAATGACATTTGTAATATTTTAGATTATTGTAAAATTCAGATATTTGCAGATGATTCATTAATATACATATCAGATGAAAATATGGACACTGCTTTAAAAATGCTAAATTCTTACTTGACAAAAATCATAAAATGGTTAAATGTAAATAAACTAAAATTAAATACTTCTAAAGCAAAATGTATGCTAATAGGGAAATACCTAAATGAAAATACTATCACAGTTAGGATAAATGGTGAAATAATTGAAAATGTTGAATCAATTAAATTTTTAGGTATATATATATTGATAGTAAACTAAAGTTTGAGGATCACTTTGAAAACCTTATTTCAAAAATTGCCAAAAAACAAATTACTTTTATAGGGCTTCTCATAGTCTTGGTACATATTCCAAAAAATAGTTCATAATACAATTATTCTACCTCATTTACTATATTATTCAACTATCTTGTTCACTGCCAATGATAAGTACACCAAAATAAAATCTGTTACAAGAATTGCAGTGGTTGAATTTAAAAAATTTCATATCATATTTGGTTCTTATTTGTGTATTTAAAATAAAAAATCATCTTTTGCCACAACATTTAGAATACTACATAGAATTGAATAATCATTACCATAATTATTATACAAGAGGAAATATAGATTTTATTTATTTTTTATAACTAGCAAATCAATATTTCAGAAAGGATTACTTGAATTTAATAAATTGAATAATGATATAAAGTCAACTTGTAATTCAAAGATGTTTAAAATAAGATTAAAGGAATATTTCATGGACAGCGAGAAAATTTTTAGAGATGCAAATTTTGTTTTTTTGAAATATATGCTTTTAAGTAATTGTTTAGTTTTTTAAAAGAATATAATAGAATCAATCATGCTAAATAAATCGTAAACACACAAACAAACATTACTTTAGTATCAGGTCCTTTTGAAGCAATCTGGATGTATCTTCTCAATGTTTTATAATGTTCGTTATGATTGCTTAATAAATATTCTATAAGTATGTAGTTACTTTTATTGAATGCTTATTTTCCGATTCAACTTTGTGTAGAGCTACAGGCTAGATGCGGCTTTCAAAAACTATCCAAAAGATAATTTCAACATTTGTTTATCACATACTAAAATTTGGTACCCGCCTGAAGTGCGTTTTCAAGGTATTTTATATGACTACCCATTATATTTTATCATTTCAGTTATAAAGTCTACTGATTGTTTTTTCCTGTTTGGGATATTTTATTAGACTTAACAGAAAAGCATATTTATTTTTTCAGACAGAAAATGGTTACACGTCTTGTGCGAAAAGGATATGGCAAACAGCGATGAACAAGCGATGTTAAAATTGCAAAGCATCAACTCCTCTTTTATGGACAGCTCGACCAATGCAGAAGAAAAGTGGATATATTTCTGGAGAAAAATCAGGAATGGTTTGATGTTGAATTTGTTTATGAACACAGCGAAGAATAAATGTATCAATTCGGATGCGAATCACCAACCGGGAACTTCATAATGGGAGAAAAAAGGCACAGAAAGACTGCAAAAGTGTAATCAACATTCAAGAAATGAAAAAACTGACGGTTCAAGAGACATCATACATACAAATTTCAGAACTCAAGTCAACTATTTATATGCTAGGTGATGAAAAATTGCTGTTGGACACGTTTGCGTGATGATTGTGATAGAAGGCAAAGTGTGTAATGCAATAACTGAAACAGTTTCTTCACAAATACGAGAAAAAATAAAAATAATCATTATTTGTTTAATTTAATAGTATTATTTTTATCTGTAAAGCAAAGCCCAAAGAAATAAATGATATCGAAAAAATATACCAGAAAAAAGTTGTTCGGGAATATTTTAAATTTGGATTGTCAAGTTTGCATGCCTGGATCAGGTTTTTTGAACCAATGCTGTATGTTTGACAAATGAGTCGAAAATAGAGCGGTTTCCGTAAGCAAGAAACGATCTATACAGCACAGCTTCAAAGACAGACTAGGTTTGCTCGTTGATGTACATAAAAGTTGAGGTAGTGGAACAAGTAATAATGGAAATACGGCTCGAGAGGATCTTTGTTAACATCAATAGAAGCAATCTCTCCTAGAGTGCTACAGTTTGATAGGCGAAGCAGCTAACGTTCTTCATCTGATGAGGAAGATGACGACGATGTAGACTCAGTATTAATCTTAAGATTCAATCATCCTATATTTAGTGCTATGTAATAAATTTTAACGAGACCAGATTTGTGTTAATATATGGAATATTTCGTACTGGCCAGCTCTCGGTGTACGAAGTTCAAGAAATGGACTGGGAGGTAGAAGCCTGGCGAATTCATCTGCCAGACTGAACGCGCGGCGGCATGGTGGAGGAGAGCTCCGAGGAGCAAAGCCCGTTTGAGAGAAGAGAGCACAGACCGCGAAAGACTGTCTTAGAGAAATGTCATAGATCAGTCAAACAGCACTCATCTGAACAGCATCGAATATGAATAAGTAGTTGGAGCGGCGGAACTCAAGGCTTGGTCTTATCTGGGCTTTGTATGGAGGGAAAAGTACTTCTTACACTACTTATGTTTCTTCAATTAGCGGTCAGATAATCATAGAGCCATTATCAGCATTAAAACCACAGGATAAGTTTCAGGTGTTACATTACACTAAAATGCACTTTTAAACGGGAAGAACAAAATAAATAATATGCTCGGCAGAGGTATTACGTATCTTGAAAAGTGATATTAAACCAGTTTTTAGTATAAAGAAGCAGCCGCGCAGGCAGAAGCCTGAATGCCGGGACACCGCGGCTGCTATGAGGATCCCAAAGAAATAATTTTGTTAATCCGATTTTTGAACTGCCTAAGGTTAGTAGAACTGGGAAAAGCTTCCTCTTGTAGATTATTCCACAATCTCGAAACCCTCGGGACAAAAGAGCGGTCGTATCGGCCAGTTCTGGATGTACGAAGTTCTACACGGTTAGGATGGGAAGCCAAAGTCAGGAGGGTCTGTCTGGCAGGCACATCG